ATGTAGACCAGGCTGGCCTTGAACTCACAGAGATCCACCTGCCTCTGCCTCCCAAGTGCTGGGACTACAGGCGTGCGCCACCATGCCCGGCCTCTTTGATTCTTTTTAAAAAGTTCTTTTACATATTTTTGGCAATGATACACTCAATTTAATTTAATCTTTGTTTGTTTTTGAGACAGTGTCTCCTTGTAGCCCTAGCTGGCTAAAATTCACTATGTAGACCAGGTTGACCTCAAGCCACAGAGATCCAGCTGCCTCTGCCTCCTGAGTGCTGGGATTAAAGGTGTGTGCCACCACACCTGGCTAATACAGTCAATTTTAAATCTATAATGACCATATCTATTTTCTTGGCTGGATTCTTGAAGCTTGACATGTAGCATATACAATATAAAATTTAATCAACAAATACAGCAAGCATGTTATTTGCATAACTAGAACAAAATTATAGCATTTGTCTTGGCTTCCTTTTAAGTTTGAACTGTGCTGAAACCCTAGTCTCAGACACTGATGGCTACATAGAAGTTTAAAAGTCCTATGGAAAGAGAAGCTTATATCTTTTGAATGTGAGCTGCAACCAGTAGCTCCCCTCTGGATGAGCAATGCCAAGAGGTTGCTGTGGAAACCCTTGTCCTGCACGAGGTCTGATACACAGAAATGGAGTCAATATGGAATTACTCGAGATGCATCAGCACCTAACAAGTTATGATCGATCTCTGGCCCGCCAATCAACCTATCACCCAATCCTCAGCATGGAAGACGTGTGCCTACTGGAGGGTAGGGCACACTTCTGGACTTTCCATTTACAAGGGAGAAGAAAGGCAAAAGAGATATTTCTTTCTGAAACTCTAGCAACCCTATGACCCATTCCTCTTTAATGTAAAGACTTTAATCCTGAAGATGTCACAGAATACTAGGGCTAGGACCTACAGTTCAGGGCATAAGAGAGAGTGAGCAAATGAGCCTACACTGGTAGACGGTGAAGAGTGGACAAGTGCCCCAAAAGTCTTTTGTTCCATTTCATGGGAATTCTGTGTATGAGCATCAAACACCCAAAGTACAGAAATTCAAAACCAATACTTACAAAATCAGTATATAAGATGTCACAGAATACTAGGGCTAGGACCTACAGTTCAGGGCATAAGAGAGAGTGAGCAAATGAGCCTACACTGGTAGACGGTGAAGAGTGGACAAGTGCCCCAAAAGTCTTTTGTTCCATTTCATGGGAATTCTGTGTATGAGCATCAAACACCCAAAGTA